GAAAAATATTTTTAAGAGATACCTGTAATAGGATCAATAATAAAAATGAAGTTTAAAAAGAGAGAGACACCAAAAAGTTTGATAGCTTTTGAATTATGGAAAATGCCAAGCACCCAGAGCCCATTAATGTCATGGTTTATTACGGAATTAATTCAGATATATACCCTGTGTTCAACACTTAAAAGTAAAAACTTGATGAAAAGCAGTTAATCTCCATAATGGGTGTTAGTTCCATCTGGAAAAGCAGCATTATAAAAGGATTAGCACTGCAATTATGCTTGGTGGTTTAGTGATCTGATTAGCTACTTTAATGGCTGATCTAGAGCTACACATTCCTGCCAAAGAGTTAGGAAATTCTAGAAACTCAAGCAGGGGGGATCCCCCAAAAGTTAGGACAGAGTCTAGCCTGTGTACAGACAAGACCTACAAGTCTGACCTCTTCAAGAGCAGAACTCTTTTCTCACTCTTTTCCTTTTCAAATTAGTCTGTTGTCATTTTTTTATTGCAAATGCAATGATAATAAGGAAGGCTTGTCCAGTCTGAGAAAGAAAATAAAATCCCTATGTTCTTGTTAATTTTCTAAGTCACAAGATTGGAAAATAGAATTCTGGGTCAGTTTCTTATTATGTTAAAGCAAAAGCTCTGAAGATAAATAGATCTGTGTTCAGATCCCAGCTGAGCCCCTTTATTGAATAATTTTATTGAAAATTTTTAATTTTTTTAGTTAAAATAAAAGCTGATGAGACAAAAACTCAGGTCAAGTGCTTAGCACAGGCCCTGGAACATAGAAAAGTCTCAACAAGCTCTTCACAGCTCTAATTATCTGAGAATTGACATTGCAAATGTTACTCCCATGTTGATTTAATGAGTTTAATCCAAGAAATTAAAAGTTCTTTGAGCATTATTGTCAGCTTGTGGAGGGAGGCCATGGAATGGTTATGGTAAATGTTCCCCATTATTATTGTGTGTTACAAATCTATTCCATAACATTTCCACACACACACCCCCAAAAAAAGGTGATTCAGAGAAAGAGCTATTCTCAGTTTGTTATGCCACGGACAAGTTGTTGGATTTTTAAGTATTTTAAAAATCTCTAAACAATAAGATTAAATGATGAATTTCATAAGACTTTTATTCTTTAATATTTAATCCCATTGCATATATTCATTGAAATCACTACAATGGTGGATTGCTCCTTTCATTATATTCTTTAACTTCTATGTGTACCATTTGTAATCCAAAATTTTCTCTTTTTTTTTTTAATCCTCACTTGAGCAAGTGTTTTTACTTGATTTCCGAGAGAGAGAGAAAGAGAGAGAGAGAATGATCCATGTGAGAGAGAAACATCAATCAATCAGTTGCCTTTCTATGTGCCCTGACCAATTGGGGATCAAACCCGAAACCTGGGTACAGGCCCTGACCAGGAATCAAACCTGCCACCTTCCAGTGTAGGGGATTACATTCCAACCAACTGAGCCACAGTGGCTGCCACCTTTATTCTTTTTTTATCTGTCCAGGCTCCCTAAGTAAAAACTAAAAAGACCTGGTAATGAAGTCACTTTCTCTCATTACCAGCCATCTCTGAGTGGATCAATTTTGACAGACAACCACAGCTGGACCTAAAGGAATTTTCTTAGATTTATGAATGGGGGTAAAAAACAGCAACTACATTTTTTATTGGAGTCTGAAGAGGTTGGTTGGTTGGTTGGTTGGTTTGGTCCTTTCAGCTTTACTACTTTTTATGAAAATCAAAAGGGATATTATGTTTCTATTTCTGGTTCTGTATTAGAAATTCTCTCCCTAATGCAGGTAATCCATAGTGAGCAACTGTCTTTCACAAAATGAAGTTAACTTGATCAAAAGGGAAAAGCCTATGACATACTAATGAAACTTGCTAAGTCATTGTTACATTTAATCCTTAAATTACACCACACTAATGGGCTAGCTAACCAGAGAACCAACCAAAATAATCAATTCTCCTAATTTAAAAAATGAAATTTTAGAAGTACAGATATATTTTAGCAGTTTTTGAGTATCAAGATCATTCTCAACACATCCAAGACCAAAAAGGGGACTTTTAATGAAGAGGAAAAGGTCAGAGCCAGAATTTTAAAATATATATATTCTAAGGTATAAATCTTTATATATTTTAAGATACCTTAGGTATCCTATGTAGAATCTTAGACTTCTTATCATTCTTACACAACACTCTCACATCTAAAAAGCACATGTTATCATTTACTTAAAGCAAAATTAAATTAGTTGTCTTTGATGAGGCATTATTTAAATTTTGAACTAGTACCATTACCAAAACACACGGAAGAAGAGTTTAGAGAAAAAAATAAAGACAAAGAAAAGAAAGTGGGAAAAGGCACTATGGTGATATGAAAATACTCAGAGAACAGTAAATGCCTACAAGGTACAGCAAGAGTATAAGGCACCCTCCCTTCTCTGAAGAAACTTAAATATCTTACCTCATTGGGTACAATAATAATGTAGTATAGTACAAAATACAAGGTTGTACACAGGAAATGAAAAGAACATGAGGGCCATGACTAGACCACAATGATTTGAGTAAGGAACAAAGTGGAAAAAGGATGTTCCAGACCAGGAACAACAGAAGCCTTAAAATAGGATAAAGCATAGTGTCTCGGCCAAGATTTAAAAGAAAGTCTTGCTTATAATGAAAGGATTTTTTTAAGAAAATGCTAACTTTTTTTTCATTGGATCGTAGATTATTATTATTACACATATTTTAATATTTGCTATTATTATTATCCATATTTTACAGGGTAGTAAAATAAGGCACAGAAAGACTGAATCTCTTGCCCAAGGCCACATAATTACTTCATGAAGAGAATCCAGCACTCCTTTCATTCCACCACAGGGAGCGTGAGGTTGGACAGATGGAGTAGGGCAAGGTTATTCAAAAGATTTAATACATCCACAAGAGAAATCCATTGTAGGTGCTGAGTATGTTGATAAAGTGATGACAATACTTTTTCAAGAACATTAATCTTGCATCAGTGAACAGAACAGATCTTAAGTGGCACAGCAGTGAGTCAAGAAAAACACTTCAGAAGCTGGTGATGTAACCCACGAGAGAAGTGGTGAGAGCCTGGATTAGGGCAGCTGCAGAGGGACAAGACAAAAAGAAACAAATAGATATGACAAAAGAAACGGTGACGAAATTGGTGACTTGGTGCATGTAGGAGCTAAAGAAAAGAATGAAGTTGAAATGAAAGCAAGTATCAGAGAAAAACAGATGGCATGGTTTATCACAAAGTTATCAATAAAACACCATTATCTGCCCTGTTCTCCCCAGCCACTGTCTTCCTCACTGGTCATGTTCCAACTTCCAATCTTATCCTTTCATTCATTTATATTTTGCTGGCTTACTGCATGTTAGACGGTGGGTGAGGCTCTGAGAAACAGAGATCACAATGATAGTAATAACAATAACAAAAAACACTTATTAAACATTTATTCTATATATGCCAGGCACTGTTCTAAAGGCTGTGTATTTACTAACTCACATAGGGTAGGCAAAATTATTATTCCCACTTTAGAGATGAAACAAAGCCATACAGTAAGTGGTGGGGCCTGGATTGTAAGCCACACTGTCTCACTCCAGAGCCCATCCACTCAACCACTCTGCTATAATGCACTGAAAAGCCTTCATGCAATTTCCATATTTTTGTGGTTTCCATTACAGTGCATCCCAGAAGTTTTAGAAAAAGTATATAATATGGGCGTGCCTTCAGAATTTTATAAGGTTGCCAGTGAGAAGATATGGGCCTTATCTGAGTTGTTCTAATTACTCAGCTATCTGGGAGGAGGGCACTAAACCCATCGAACAGTTCTACAACTTTCCACTTGGCTTCAATTCCATGGGTGGTCATCACAAAGGCACATCCAGCAATTTATACCAAGTCACACAACACCAGGGTAAAAAAAATGTCTAATTCTCCAATTTTGTGTGATAAACAATAGAAAATGCTACACATTTAGCTTATCTGCCTTGTCATCTTGAGGCATAACCTGCATTACCAGATTCATCTTTCTGCAACTACCTAAATTATTCATTATACCTCAGTTACTCAATCAGACAAAGAAGCTTGCAAATAGAATTTTCAACTAGCAACTTCAAAAGAGAATTTTGTAGCAAAATAAGGAAGATCCAAATTGGAATGATCCAAATCCTAATTGGTAAGCAAAACTGATAGCAACGGTGAATCGATGACGAGCTTTGAGAGCCCCAGCCTAATGAACCACACGGGAATAGCACCTATACCCTATCCTAACCATGACCCAAAATCCAGAAGCAATTAAAGAATAAATGGATACACTGGAGTACATGAAAGTAAAATACTACAGGCAAAGTAATCAATTCCAATACTGAATACATCGTGGATCACCCCACCAAAACTCTACTAACCCTGCCCTCTGAAAGGACGGCCATGGCTCCTACTTGCCAAACCAGGAGTCTTTCTTCAGTCTCCTTCATCCTTGGCCAAGCTCTCTGGAGAGCACCCCACTGTATCTGGGTACTCTCCTCCCTTGACTTCCATGACCCTTCTCCCCTCTTCCCCAATCCTAGGTGCCCTATTATTCTCTAGCTTTTCTTTCCAGCTCCTAACATGGCTGTACCCAAAAGTTCAGGCTTGGGTCTTCTGCTCATTTCTCTCTAAATTCCTTCCTTTAGGGGCCCTAACTATTCTGATGTCTGCTGCTCTAATCTCTCTCCTGAACTATAATCCTACGACTCTAACTGCTGAAAGACATTTTTACATGAATATCCTGGTATTAGTACTTCGAATTCACATCTTAAACCAAATTCATCTTCTCCTCCAAACCTGACTTCACTATTCTTTCAGTTGTGCCCTCACACATCTCACTCACACACACACACACACACACACACACAGACTATTGGAGCTCCTCTCTGCACTCCCTCAACACCCTGTCCAAACCTCAAAAAGCCCAGATTACCCTATTATAATCTCTGATTCGTGGGTATGTTTGTTTGCCTCTCCAAGTAGATTATAAACTCCTTGAGGGGCAGAAATTGTATCTTAGTTGCCTATGTATCCCCAGTGACTTTTGCAGGTACTCAATACAATCTGCTAAGAGAAATTAATCAACATGGCCCATCTGTTCCAGCCAAACTGGTCCACCTACAGTGTCCACATGATTGGCATTTCCACAGATCCCACTTCCAGGCTTCTCTCTGCTGGTGCACATATGGAAAAGCACTACCCACCCTTTACAAGACTGAGTTTAAATTTCACCTGCACCATGAAACTTTGCCAGGTGACCCATTCCAAGACTCCTCACTCATCAGTCTTACAGTGGCAGTTCAGTGTCATAAAACAGTATCACCTAGGAAGGTACACAGGCCTGATTTAAAACCAGGCTCTAGCATAAACTAGCTGTGTTACTCTGGGCAAATTCCTAAAACTTTTTAAAGCTATAAAATGAGGTAAATAATACCTATCATAGGGGATTTAGGGGAGGGGTAAAGTACAGTAAACCACCCAGAACATAGTAGATATTCAGGAAATGTTAATCCCTCCCCACTCCACCTCCTTCCCACTTCATTTACCACTGCTGTAGTGCTTAAATTGATAATGTATGTCATGTCCCCTCAATTAGATCCCAACAATTCATAAGATCCTTAAGGGCAGAAGCTGAATCTCAATCATCTCTGTACCTTCTAAGCACCTACTAATGTGTCTTACATAAAGACACAATAAAAACTGAGGACAATGAAATCACAGTTACAATGGATTATGGCAATCAAGTGTAAATTGTGCCAAGAGTAGAACTGACAACCGTATTCATCCAATTTAGCTGCAAAATTATTACATGGCACCTCTGTCATTTCACTCATTCCAAAAGCTGATTTCAACAAATGACAGTGTAAATAAAGACAAATCAATTTGTAGAGTGTACAAATTAATAAGTAATCATTGATAATAACATTAAAGGTGGCTTAAAATGTTACAGTTGGTATTAGAAGACTAAACATGTTTTGTTCCCATGTGCTTTTATGCAATGGTTTCCTTTCACATATCCTTTGATTTAATGTAATTATAACAGATCTCTTCGAACCACTTGTTAACTAACTGAAACTAGATTAAGATTTTTATGTTTTCCCACCAGGGGACAAAATTAAGGGCCAATACTAAAGCAAAACTAGATGGAGATTCAAAACATAATAATTACAGGTAAAACCTTCCAAAAATTCTAATTAAAGTGTTTTCTTTCCAAATGTCTTTCATTAATATCAAGCCTTCAACATCCTCTTTGAACTTACTAGAATCTTTTCTCTACCCTGATTTATCATAGCTTTCCTTCACTACATAGTATCTTCATCAGGGATCAATTCCCATGGTTGCCCCACTTGCATGTGCTAACAGGCTGGAGTGGCTGCAGCTTGTTGCGTAGTAACCTCCACTCTAACAATCAACTCTTCATTTTGCTGCCAACTGCATTCCCTTTCCCTGCAGAAACTATTTCTATAGTTTTCACAAACTGGAATGTGCAGCTTTTCAAAATTTAATTTGAAAAAACAATTAGGGATAGAAGTGTGCGAAATACCCTCCTTTCAAAATGCTCACGCCTCCGAGTTCATTTTGTTTTGTTTTGTTTTCCCATGTAGAGAAGTTTATAGTAAGAAAGAGGCATTCAGTTCTAGCAGACCCATCCACTAGAACACAGAACACACACACACACACACACACACAGGTACAACAGGAAAGAGCTAAAAGCCAAGCATTAAAAGACCAAGTCTCTAATCTCAGTTCAACTACCTATTATATACCTTTAGGCAAAACCATAACCTTTCTTGGCTTTGACTTCCTCTTCTATAAACTAGAGATCATAACCACCATTCCTATTTCAGCAGCTTATTTCAGAGATTTTAAAAGCACAGGATCACAAATAGCACTGTATAACTGTAAAATGTGTGTGAATGGATATGTATACATATATAAACACACACAGCAATCTCACTGCCTATGGGTAAATATATTATATCATGTATTAAAGTTCCAATTAAATACCTCACTAGAATTTGTTATATCAAATTCTATACACAGTATAACCATGGCAATTTTTTCTTTTTGGGAAACAGAATCTAGCTTGGAAATGTATGTTCACAGTCTAGTTCATAAATTTTGGAGCAAGTATCATTTTCTAATCTAATTTATATTCTCGCAAGCAAATTTTTACTTACAATCATAACATACCTAAATTTTCCCTTTCAATCAACCAACATTAGTATAAAAAAGTACTGGAGATTAGTTCTTCAGATCTTGTGTTAAGAGTATCTACATTATGGTCTTCACATAAGCCTTAACTAAAATTTATTTAAAAGTCAAAACAAAGAGGATAATTTCATGATTTTAGTTTTTTAATGTTAAAAAGAGTAGCACCATTAAATTAGAAGATTGCTAAGTTATTACTCACTTCCAATTTCCTAGGCAAAAATATCAATATACTTTCATTCTTCAAATAAAAGATTCCCTACACACACACACATACACACACACACACACTCTTCCTAAATTGTGCTTATATGGCTTTAACTTTTTATATGTGGCAACTTTTGAACACTAATTCAATTGTTTAGCATATGTGTTTTCTTTCTAGTTGCTTACAGTTTCCTACAAGATCTCTATTACAGCGTGATTCTGGCACTTTGTGCTATTTGTTGTTCCAATTAATTAATACCATTTAAAACATGAATTTGAAAAAATCTTATTTTAACCATAACTTTGCAGCTAAAATTCTTTTTCCAAACTTTGCCCACATTCTGTGCAACCTAAATTAGTGCTGAGCTCAAACTGGATTTTAACAGTTGCTCAATGTTCTTCAAAAGGTGAAAAGGCATATGTTTATCCGAACTACACCCATTTTCAATTTCAACACAGCAAACCTCTCGTTTTTTCTTAAGGCAAATTTTAAACCATACATATTGGGATTGGTTATTACTGAAGATAATTTATGCAATCATGAGCCAAAGATGCTAAGCTGGCAAGAAGAAAACCGTGCAAGTAAGCAAACTCTATCCCATGTGGGACACACCTTCTCAGTATATAAAGGCTTGCCACTGTCCTTGGTAGCAGCAGGCACTCCCTGGGCTAAATAGCATCACCATGTCTGTCCGATACAGCTCAAGCAAGCAATACTCTTCCTCCCGCAGTGGGGGAGGAGGAGGGGGAGGAGGGTCCCTCAAAGTTTCGAGCAGCAAAGGCTCCCACGGCGGAGGATACAGCTCAGGGGGCGGTTTCAGTGGTGGCTCTTTTAGCCGAGGGAGCTCTGGTGGAGGCTGCTTTGCAGGATCAGGCAGCCATGGAGGAGGGCTAGGGGGTGGGTATGGTGGAAGCAGCTTTGGTGGGGGCTATGGAAGCAGCAGCTTTGGTGGGGGCTGTGGAGGAGGCAGTTTTGGAGGAGGCAGCTTTGGAGGGGGCAACTTTGGTAGCTTTGGTGGAGGAGGCTTTGGTGGAGGAGGCTTTGGTGGAGGCCTCTTTGGTGGAGGCGGCTTTGGAGGAGGTTTTGGTGGTGGTGCTGGACTTGGAGATGGTGGCCTTCTCTCTGGAAATGAAAAAGTAACCATGCAAAATCTGAATGACCGCCTGGCTTCCTACTTGGACAAAGTTCGGGCTCTTGAAGAATCAAACTATGAGCTAGAAGGCAAAATCAAGGAGTGGTACGAAAAGTACGGCAACTCAGGCCAGCGAGAGCCTCGTGACTACAGCAAATACTACAAAACCATCGAAGATCTTAAAAATCAGGTAAGGGGCATTTTAAAATCCAACTTTAAACCTATTTTTCATCTGTGTAGTTCAGATAGATCAATTTTAAATTAACCATGATGTTAGCTGGTCACTGTGTTTGCCTATGTTACTTTCTTGCTTCCAAAATTGATCCCATCTCATCAATGGTAAATATGTGTGAAGGTATGGTCATTTCACTCTTTACCCAACATGTGTATTGTATGTCGTATAGGATGGTGGATTACTGAGAATTTTTTTGGTTTTAATGAGTGTATAATGAGTCCACTGTTAAAATACGCTAGATCATTTATAAATATGAAAACTGAAAGGACTGTTAAATGAGTCAGAACAAAATATCATTCAGATTGATAACAAACAAAAAATATTCATTATCTATATTGCAAGAAACATGAACTCTGCAGTATGGCAGTGAGATACTGCTTGCCTCTAGGGATTTGTGAATTGTACCTATAGTGTACCAGCTTAGAGTGTATTCACTTAGAATATCTATTTATAACAAATTAAACCAAATACGGGTATGAGTCAGTATTGGCTGAAATATAAGGAAATCACAGTATGAAGGGGACGCACATGCAGGAACACAGCTATATAATTCCAGTTAGCTTTCAGAAAGATGATATAGAAATAGAGGCATACAGAACCTTCAAGAGAACAAATGACTCAAGTTTAAGTGTAATGGTAAGCCTGCAATATTTCATATTTAAAATAAAAAACTCCCCCAAAATTTTGTAAGAGAACATAAAAATGCAGTTCATCTATGTCACTATAAAAGCCCTATCTGTATCTGATTTCTTTACCTCTTCCCACAGATCCTTAATCTAACAACTGATAACGCCAATGTCCTGCTTCAGATCGACAATGCCAGGCTGGCAGCGGATGACTTCAGGCTGAAGTAAGCTAAGTGAATGGGGTACAATACTGTCACAACAAATACATGAGTTGTTTTTAACAATGACTTTGGATGTCCACAATAGCAGTTACTTTTTCCTGAATTCAAAGTTAAACAGTACTGGAGCTGTCAAGAGATATTTTCCATTTCAATATACCTTTTTGAGCAATATTCAAAGAAAATGCATTTTAAAGTAACTGCTAAGCTTCTTTGCATTCAACCACTAATATCCCTATGTGCATTAGTATATGATAAATGTTGCCAGGATATGAAGTCAACTCTATCTTTACTTCTTAAATACTCTCTTCCCAGGTAACATCTCCCTTATATGTTATAGCCAGTAACTGTACCATGCTCGTTTCAGGTATGAGAATGAGGTAGCCCTCCGCCAGAGTGTGGATGCTGACATCAACGGCCTACGCAGGGTGCTAGACGAGCTGACCTTGACCAAGGCTGACTTGGAGATGCAGATCGAGAGCCTGACTGAAGAGCTGGCCTACCTGAGGAAGAACCATGAAGAGGTGATGCAAAAAGTTATATGTACTTCCCCCAGCCAAAATATTGTTCATTTTGGTCACAGTTCAGCCATTAAATTTTTCTGTTCCTCAAACAGGAAATGAAAGACCTTCAAAATGTGTCCACTGGTGATGTGAATGTGGAGATGAATGCTGCTCCAGGGGTTGATCTGACTCAACTTCTGAATAACATGAGAAGCCAGTACGAACAACTTGCTGAGCAAAACCGCAAAGACGCTGAAGCCTGGTTCAATGAAAAGGTAACCTACCTTCCTTCAGGGTGAAACCAATGGAGCTTTGGTTATCATTTCAGACTTTTCTCATCTTTTCCTTTTTTTTTCTTTTTTTTTTAAAATATTCTAGAGCAAGGAGCTGACTACAGAAATCGACAGTAACATCGAACAAATGTCCAGCCAAAAAACCGAGATTACCGAACTGAGACGCACTGTTCAAGGCCTGGAGATCGAGCTACAGTCCCAACTAGCCCTGGTATGTTAATAACTCTCTCATACACAGTTTCCTGCTCGTGCAAGACTATGAAACACAACGAAAAACCCAGAGTTGGGGGGTCACAGGGTAGAAATAAAAACTGGAGTTCTTGTTAACGGCAGAATAGCATCACTGGCATCAAGGGCTTGAAACTGAGACGTTGCCGTGAAACGTAAAACACAAATTCTATTCATTGTCTTTATGCTTCTGGATGAGGGCTTAAACTGTTAGCTGAGCTAGAGGGTCGTTGGGCTACAACACGCTCTCTCCTCTTTTCAGAAACAGTCCCTGGAGGCCTCCCTGGCGGAAACAGAAGGTCGCTACTGTGTGCAGCTGTCCCAGATCCAGGCCCAGATCTCCTCCCTGGAGGAGCAGCTGCAGCAGATCCGCGCCGAAACCGAGTGCCAGAACGCCGAGTACCAGCAGCTCCTGGACATCAAGATTCGGCTGGAGAACGAAATCCAAACCTACCGCAGCCTGCTTGAAGGCGAGGGAAGGTACGTTAGACCGCCGTTTTAAAAACGATCCCAGTTGCTTTTATTTTTTTGTAAAACTTTAACATTTCCACTCGCTTTTCTTCAATATTCCCAATCGCAAGGCTTTCCCCAAACCGAAGGACGCGCCAGAGACTGG